AAAGAAAAGTTGCAATAAAGTCTGCTTTTTTCTTAGTTTCAACAAAGACCATAGTTCTTTCATCACCTGTGTTTCGTAGAATTTCGACAAGTTTTTCTCTTTTTGAGTACTGGCCAACTTGAAGAATAGTCTGCCGAACATCTCAACATGCTCCACCCACTTGTCCAACAGCAACAAACAAATAATTCGACTTTAAAAACTCCCCAGACAACCTTTGAATTTCTTCTGGAAAAGTTGCACTGAACATAAGGGTTTGACACTCTTCCTTTGATGGCATTCCTGGGCAAGAAATTAATTTCTTCATTTGTGGTCCAAAACCCATATCCAACATGCGATCAGCTTCATCCAAAACTAAATATTTGATTTGTCTCAGACCAATCTTTTCTTTGCCTATGATGTCCATCAATCTTCCAGGAGTAGCACATAATGTATTACAGCCTTGTACTATTTGTCGAATTGAATGCCCCAACTGGATTTCCCCATATATAACAACAGCTCTTACATAAGTCCCAAAAGAAAATTTTCTGGCTTCCAGATAAATCTCGTTGATTAATTCTCGAGTTGGTGCTACAATAATACACTCTGGTTCCTGCAGCTCTTTAAAACGACTGGCCGTTATTCCATCACGCATCATATGAGCCAAAATTGGCAAGAGAAAAGCTACAGTCTTCCCAGACCCTGTTTGAGCACAAGGCATCAAATCTCGTCCTGCTAATATAATAGGGATACTATATTTTTGCACAGGAATAAGCTTAGTATAACCAGCTTTAGCAATATTGTTAATGACTAGTTATGTGAGATACTAAAAGTTACAACATTACAGTTACTGATACAGATGGTGTTAACTGGAAATATTAAAGCATTCTAAATGTCTTGCTTATTTCTAGTGTATTCTTCAGGGGGTTTAGACATGTTTTATGTCTAAATTCTAAGTCTTAGTATAATGCTTAAAACAAGCTATAAGATATGATACACTTTTGGTTAAAAATTGTGTCTCATTTTTACTTGAGCCTTTAAAACAGTACTGTAGTATATCACCGTAATGTGATAACATGATTTTCATGAAACAGTGAAAACTTAAGCCTTCAAAAGTGATTTTTATTTTAGATCATCAGATATGTGATGAAAATGGCTAAATGTTTGCAACATGAGCTCTGTACTCAATGGCATAACAAATGTTTGTTTTTATAATATACAGACTTTCCTTGAAAATAAAGTCTGAAACACATTTTCCCCTAAAAAAAAAAAATCAAAAAAATGAAAAGACTTCTTTCACCATCATCTATTCTTGGCATCCTTGTCAAAGATCTGTTGACTGCATATGTCTGGGTTTATTTCAGGGCTTTATTGTGTCCCATTGGTCTATGTGCCCATTCTTATGCCACTGCCACACTGTTTGAATTATTGTAGCTTTGTAATAGATTTTGAAATCAGGAAGTGTGATGCCTCAGCTTTGTTCTTCTTTCTCAAGATTGATTAGGCTACTAGGCATCTTCTGTGGTTCCATATGAATTTTATGTTGTTTTTTCTATTTCTGTAAAAAATGTCATTGGGATTTAGATAGGGATTGCATTGAACTTGTAGATCACTTGGGTAATATGGACATTTTAATGGCAGTAAAATTGAAAGTGAGGGAACTATTTAAGAAGTTACCTCCACAGGCCATGCCACAACATTGACATTGGGTATTTAAATAGAGAGGAGGCAATTGTTACAAGAGGAGTTGCAGAGGGTGTTATGATAAAATCAGGAAATCTACTGGATATGGGAATTGAAGGAGGTTGAAATGTTAAGTAATATGCCTCAAATTTCAGTATATTCTATAAGGGCTTGATTTCTCTTTGCATGATGCCTGGGAAGACCTTGAAGGGATAATGGTCTTGTGTACTGATGCTGATCTTAGAGCCTAAGTGTTCTAACTGAAATAAGTGTGTTAATTGACCTGGTGGCCAGAAATAAAAGAAGAATCAACACAAAAGTTAGTTAAAGAATGAAGGATCGCAGCGTCAAAACCACAGAAGGAAAATTTGTCATTAAATCTGATGGTCAAGTACAGCGCTTGAAAAAAGATGATGAATTAAAGTAAATCAGTATCTAATGAGACAGGAATAATAGTTGAGGTATAAAGGGAAGCAAGGGAAGTATGCAGTCAGTAGGTCAATACTTTTGCTCCTGCAGAGACCTTGAATACCAAGCACAATAAGCATTGTGTCCACTTTCTTATATGCATTTTCCAGTGTGAGTTAAAGGTAGAGATGTAGCTATAAACAACACAAAAAACAATATGTAGAATCTTTAAAAAATTTAAAATAGAACTACCATAAGATCTAGCAATCCCACTTCTGGGTATATATCCAAAAGAAATGAAATCAATGTCTTTTGCACTCCCAGTTTCATTGAAGCACTATTCAAAACAGCCAAGACACGGAAAAAAGTGTCCATCAACAGATAAATAGATAAAGTAAGTGTGTTATACACATTTGACAGAATATTACCCATTCTCATAAAAGAAGAAAATTGTGCCATTTGTGACAATATGGATGAACCTGGAGGATATCAAGCTAAGTGAAATAAGCCAGACACAGAAAGGCATATATTGCATTAGTTCACTTATATTTGGAATCTAAATAAAAAAGCCAACTCATAGCAACAGAGAGTAGAATGGTGGTTTGCCAGGGGCTGGGGAAGACATTGGTTATTGCACAAAGTATACAAACTTCAGTTATAAGATGAATACGTTCTAGAGACTTAATGGACGACATGATGACTTTAGTTAATAATGCTTCGTGTACTTGAAATCTGCCAAGACAGTAGATCTCAAGTCTTCTCACCACACACATACACACAAAATGGCAACTATGGCAGGTGATGGATATCTTAATTAGCTTGATTATGGTAATTTTTCACACAGTTTGTACACCTTATTTATACACAAATTTTATTTATCAATTGTGGCTCATAAAGCTGAATAAGTGGCATAGTTGTAAGTAGAAAAATAAGTAAGGAACTCTGGATTGGGTAAAGGATTATCAAATTGTTCAGATAATAAGACACCCATCTCCTTATTCATTAGATGTTATTGTGTTTGTTAAAAATGTCATGAAAAACTGAACAAAATGTAGGTAACTTTACTATCCTTCTTACATGCGGCTTCAGTAGTAGGGATATAAAAAATAAAACATAAAGAAGAAAAACAAAACCTTCTCTCCACATGATTGTATGGATCCTTACTATTTCTCTTCTTGCCATTAATACAATTAGTAAGATGTTCCTTGGCATTTTCAAGTATGAGAATACCTGCCATTTTGGTCTCTTGCTAACAAACTTCTTCCTTTGGGGACTGAAATTATAAATTGGACTGGGCCTTTCTTTCTGAAGAGACTTGGCTACCTATGGCAACTCTCTCTTTCTTATCTCTGTATTGCACACCCATGTGAAAGCACTAATTGCTTCAGGACCTTTTAACAAATAACCCATCAGAGGATAAAAAGTTATTACTATTTGGATATAGGTTCAATGCTATGAAATGTACACTTAGACTTTTAGGCTTGATCAAGTCTGGACTGCTACAGAGTTCTGCACTATGATTTGTGGAAAAAGTCTTTGTAACAATAGAATGACTGAGGCACTGTTACATTTTTGTCATTGTTCTCTGAGTTTATGACCCCTTTTGAGACCTCAAGTGAAACTAACCCTTCATTAGAGCATTGCTAATCAGCTGAATATACCTAGGGAACATGTTTCTCGGTTTCAATTTACGTTTTTCATATCCAACATCAAGTGTACTCACCATTCCTTCTTACAATCACCCTATATTTTCCTAATTCTCAAGAACTGTGTTGGTCTCTTAGGTAATTATTTCTTATGTACTCTTCTCTCATAATACCTACAATATCTCCTTTCCATCTTCATTCTCCATTTTTGCCCTTACTTCCCATATCTTCCCATACATGTATACATTTACCCATATTCTCTTCTTAGTCTCCTGTTACAGTGGGTAAACCTTTTGTGTTCCTAGCAAAGCCCATCATGTTCACTTGTGCACTAGTTCTCATGCCCTCTTGCCTTAGAAGGTTATTGTTCCAGTGATTATGTTTTTCTTAAGTTATATCATCAATTTTCTTCTATTTATTTTTTGCTCAGCACTCAAATTAAATGTAGTTTCTCACATCCTTGAATAAATCCTCCTCTCACCCTATACCTACTTCTTTATGGTATAAAAAAAAAAAAAAAAAAAAAAACACGTCAAATAGCTGCCTATATTGGGCTCTCTCCCTTTATATCTTAAAGCCATTTTAATCACCCTGCCACTCTATCAAAATAACAGTCCTCAAGATCCTCAGTTTGTTCCATTTTCCTATGTCTGATTATAAATCCATCATTAGTTAATAATTCAGTTAATCCTTCTATTCTCCTTGAAACATTGCCTTCCTGATTTCCCAGTCACCATATTTTACTTTTGTTCTTCTACCAATTTCACTTATTTTTTTTTTCAGTAGCACTTTCTATCATCTTTCTTATATCTTAACAGTGGAATTCCTTAAGATTTAACTAATGGAACACTTCTACAAACCCTAACTTCAATAGTGATCTTATCCATAGTCTTGCTTTCAAACTTAATATATAGATTGATGACACCTATATCTGGCCTGAACTCCAGACTCATATATTCACTTGCTTATTCAACCTTTAAACTTGATTGTCTAATAGTAATCTCAATCCTTACATGTCCCAAACTGAACTCTTACTATTTTCTCTAATTCTTCTCTGCTGGTTGATGTAATAAAAAAGAAAAGAATAATAATTCTACTGTGTATTTGATCTTCCCATCTCACATAATGGCAGCACCTCTTTTGTGGTTCCTCAGGCCAAAGCATTGTGAATAATTTTAAGTACTCTTCTTTATTTCCCCTCTCAGTTAATACATCAGTCCTTCAATGGCATCCCTACCATGGAACTATATCTATTACTCATTACCTTTACTACTAATGCTTTGGTCCAAACTGCCGTCCCCTTCATGTGATTTATTGCAGTACCTTCAAACTGATTTTACTGTTTCTGCACATAAATTGTGTGCATGAGTGTGTACACCTATGTTTCTCAAAAGAGCAATGAGTGATTCTGTCAACAGATAATCAGATCATATTAATGCCTCTATGTTACTCAGAATAAAAATCAAAGTCATTCCTAAAAGCCCTACTAGCTCTGTGTTAACTCCCTGGCATCTCTCCTAGGCTTCTTCCTGTGTTCACGGTACCCAAGCCATATTTGTTTATATGTCATTCCTCAGAATATTTTTCCCAGATATCTGTGTGCTGTACTATATCAGATTTTCAGGTTTTTACTCAAATATCACCTTGTCAGTGAAGATTTTCCTGACTACCTAGTTAAAACTGGAAATCTATTCTTGAAAATCTTTAACTATTCCCTGATCGGCTTTTTCTCCATAACATTTAAAATCAGGTGCATAATCATCTGGAATTCCACAAGGGCTAACATGTTTCTCTGTTTCTGGCATATAGACAATGCTCATTCAATATCCATTAACCATATGAGTATTATCAATCTTCATATTCTAGTCTGATAGGAAAAATGAGCTATGAGGATGAAAAATAATGGTACTGGATGAGTAGAGACAATAGGAGAATTAAAAATCTTGAGCTCCATCAAGTTTAAGGTGGTTTTGCCAAACTGCACTTTCCAAACTCTCTTTTCAGCATTACACCATTTGTACAGTCAATCCCACATTATTTCTCTGCAAAATAACTA